CTGAGTTTCCACACCCAGCCTCTAACACCAACAGGCCGCACAGAGGGGAGAGAGGGCAGGGAATGCCATCTCCAAAAATAGATCTTCATTATTCCAAATTTTCCACAAATAGTTTCAAAGAACAAGGCATCATTTCATCTTAATAGTGAGCATGAATTGTTTTGGGTAGCACAGTGGAAAAGCCTTGGCTCCTTCTGCTAGAGCGCGGTGGCTTCTGAAGTGGCTTGCCTTTTTCACCGCTTCACACCACAGGGACCACATATTGGCACATTTCAAACAAGGCTATTTTTAAAAGCTCCTTTTGTTGTTGCGAGTAACTCAGACTTCCTCTCTAAGTGTATTGACCTTAGCAAACAGCTTTGACCGCCATCCAAATGCTACCCAGTTTCTTGTTTGACTAACTCCATGGCTATGTATCTGCAATGATGAAATCAGAACCAAAATCCTCAATAAGTGTCAGCAAATGTTAAAATGGTAAAACTCCGAGCCCATACTACAAGGATGCATGTATCTGAAAAACAGCTAAACAAAGTTAGTATTTTACAGAACTGAAGGAAAAATAAATAAAGGGTGAAATAATATAACGGGGAGACTAGACACATTTTTTTTATAGTATGCAGAAATAAGTATAATTTTAGATTAAAAAAAGCTTTAGTATAAAACATTAAATTTTTTCAGCTTTTCTAAAGATGAAAAATTAAAATAGAAGTCAAGAAGCAGGATATTAGTAGCCTGACAGTTAGTTGTGTAGTTGCCTGGGGCGTTTTTTATGGTAAAGGCAGCTGAATGAAAACCCCTCACTACACACTTGTAAGTCTCAAAACAGCCTCCACCCCCTCAAATTAAACAGGAGGAGAGCCTATTCTTCTACTCTTTCAGCAAGAACCACCAGTCAGACTATTTTTAGCCTTACCACACACTATTTTTAGAAGGCAGTTTTTTTTTGTTTGTTTTTTTTTGTTTTTTTTAGAATTTTAACAAAGGGGTGTATTGAAACTATTTATGGTGGTCACTAATATTAACTGGTAAGGCATTTTAATCATCAAAATATGTTTATGTTTTGGAAGATGTTGAATAAATAAGCCCTTACATAACTAATTACAACCAAGAAACATATCATCTACATATAGTTATGTATTTCCACCAGAAAGACAAGTCAGAAGTATTATTGGTAACATCCATTTTACATTTATGAGTGTAAACACATGTAGCAGAGCTTCCTGTTTTTAAAGACAGTGATACGCTTGCTGACTGGGGTCAAAGGTTAATGTACTTAGCCAGTTAAAGCCACTATATCCACCGTATTCCTTAATCCTGAGCTCATAGAAAAGTCAGGTTGGTGATGTGACTTAGTAAACTCACTCGTGCACTGTGGTCATGTGACTGCCCCGCCCAAAACCTTTGCTCTATTTCCCACCATGTGTACATGGCCTGGGACAGGGAACGGAAAACTAACTACACCTCTGTTTCTTTGGGAGGATGTGTTAATCAAATCTATTATAACACATGTCTATAACACAAGTGTCTTCAAATCCTGCCATTTACTCTGATTCCTCAATGCCAGTGCTCTAGTTGCTACATTTTGATGCCACGTTTGCCTTTAGAAAGTGGCACAATCCAAGTAAATATCCAGTACAATATATCAAAAAATAACGCTGCAAAGTGCAACATATTTATATAATAAGAGCTGAATCTAACATCTAATTAATTTATTGGAAAAAAGTAATTAATCTATCTAATCAAATCAAATTAAATATAACACAATTTGAATATTAAGATTGAGAAATAATGTTTTAATTGTAAATTATAATATTTTGTGTGCGATACTGGTTTTCAGTGGCACATCTGTGATTTAATAGAACAATACATTTTAGTAATACACTGGTACTGTGAGATACAGTGATAACAGGCTATTAGCTCTACACTGTAATGTGCAGCCTTAGATGATGCATACTTTTGACTCATTGAAGAGTGGATCTTGTTATTATTTAGTCATGCATCAAGCTAAAATGTACTCAGTAGACCAGACATCTTGCCCTCTGTACTTTTATTTAACTAATTGCTACAGTCACTTTGAACAAAGCTTACAATGTAGTGCATGGCCTTTTTCATTGCTCTGCATATAGCGGCCACTCTATACCTTCTTGTTCTGTTCCAGTTGGACTGTCATAGGGCTGAAATCACACCTGTGCTCCTCTCACATCTCCTCTGTACAAGGCTGAACATACGCAGCCAGGGTGAAACATGGCGAGGGAGCTTTGCTGAATCTCATTAGCCAAGCGGGTAGTCATTAACAGAATGACCTTTGGAAATAATTACCAGCCTTCCTCCTCTCTCCCTCCTTCTCTTCTCACACTCATCCATTCCCCTGTCCCTCCCTTGCTCCTCTTTATGTGCTATAGTTCTTTCAGAAATACAGAAACTATGGAAAGGCAAGAGTATATGTAAGGAGCATGTGGTGGTCCCATGTTTGAGATTACATAGCAAGGTGAATGTTCAGATTAGGTTAATCTTTTGGAAATGAGATTGGGTGCACACCTTTTTATTTGGCCATGCAGACAGGCAGGTGTCCAGGTTAAGACCAAGACAAAAAAACGTGCAGTTTCATGTGATACTAAGTGCTATGGAAGTTGTACATTTGTTATTAAATATTAAAAAAGGAAAAAAGTGCAACATAGCGATAGTGAAATAATATCAGTGTCTGTTCTCCTTTCTGATGTAATCCTAGGATTGAGCAGCTGAGTGAATAACCATCTAGTTGCTTTGTGTTCATTGTTGTAAAATAGGGGATTACAAACACATTGTGAGAACAGGGATTGGGTACTGAGCAGCTGGTGCTTACGTTTGGACCTGATCTGAAACCATTCGGAAAGAGAAATAAAAGACCACTTTCATGTGTAATTAGCGGCCTAGCACTTGCATAATAAATCAACAATAACAGCTCAAAGTGATTTTCTTAACATGGAATAAAGGCAAACAGGCAAATCTATTCTCTTGTCATTTCCCAACACCACTTCCCATTTCCCCTTTAATGCCGTTCACATGTCCAGGAAACCAGCTTGGCAAACGGCGAGTATAGGAAATCTATGTGCGTGTGTGACTGTTTTATCTGCCGCCAGCCTCCAACTGCACTGTAGAGCTGCCAGCATGACATGCATGCAACCTGCTAGGACAGCACACAGCCTGTGTGCTTAGCAGAGGCCTCCAAGGGCTCTTTGAACAATCAGATCATTTTATGTGGACTAAATTGTATTTGGTCATTATCCACCACTGCGATTGCTAAAATATTAGTTTGTGTAGTGCCCTGTTATGTACATGCAACCTACAGCAGTACAAAGATAGAAATAGTCTAAGGAAGAGGGAGAGAAAAGCCCTGCAGCCTCTTGTAAACATGCTGTAGCAGAGAGGCTGTGCATCGCTCTCAGTGCCACTCTCTCAACAACGCTAATTATCAACCAAAGACATGCTAATTACACAGAGCTTTATTGCTAATGTAGCAGGCCTGTATGCCAGCCGCCCACACTGTGAGCTCCGCTCCCCTACCTCTGCTCTCCTCCCACTACACCTTCAGGCGCAGCAGCAACATGCCAGAGAAATGCAGACTTATTCATAGAGTCTCCAAAGACAAGTGTATGAAATATGATATGTCACAGAAAATATGGCACATTTTGGGGACATCTGGGTTTCTTTTCCATTGCTAAATTCAGTCCTTTATCAAGTTCTTGACCTCTGTTCCATTTGTCCAAACAAAACAGGAAGTCCGCCTCGCTCCGGCACTCACCTCTCTCAAACTGAACGAGACACCTACGTTCTTGCACCTGTGACGTAGCTCGGCAGCCGCACACGGCTTGGCAGGAGGCGGCGACCTCCAATACTCCTCTACCCACCCAGGCTAAACGCACCAGTGTCAGCTCTGTGGTCAATCCTGTTAGTGCGCTGCAGCTAAGGATAAAGGCCTCTTCAGATCAATTTTTCCCTCAGTGACTCAGTCCTCCTGGGATAACACTGTAGTTAGTGCATCACTAGTCACTTTATATCCCTTTCCTGTATTGTTACTTGTAACCCATAGCCCTACAAATAGCCACTCCATCACTGATGACCACTATTCAACATTCTCCAAAGTGCATCTTTATCTTTATTTAAACAACTCAACAAAGAATAGAAAATAATGCTTATTTAATTATCCTTATTTAAAACTCAAAATTTCTTTAAAAAAAACCAAGTATGCTGCATGATCATTTTCATTACATATCAGTATGCCCAGTATGTTTTCATTCCTACATCTACACCGTATGGTGCATCTGCTTTTCTTAAATCCAATATGTTCCATTCTCCAGATTAATTTGTGAATTCTTAACCTTTAAAATGGTATCAAGTGGGAGCAGAGGAGGATAATGTAAGGTCAAATCTTTAAGGAGAAGCATGTGATATTACTGTTCACATTCTAATGTATCCAGCCTGGGCCAGCATGCCATCTGGAATCGCGGCGCTCCCTGTGGGCCTTTACACCCGTGTGTGGGCAACAAGCCCAGCAACACCCTGATACTGTGCGGAAACGTGTGCCATACTGTTGTTTTTTGCATTTCCTTTTTTCTGAAAGTGCACCAAAGGCAGTGGTAAACACTAATTAAGAAATTGTGCATGTCCGAGTGTGACCTGACAGCTTTGCCTGGACAGTCGTCAGGAGGTTATGTAACAGGTCTCACGTTGAGCCTAAAGCTGCAGGAGGCTGTCAGCGTCATTTCCTACATTATCTACCTGCGGCTTTTAACATGGCCTTGAGCCTTCACTGCATGTGTCCAATACAAGTGAGATCAACATCCTCCTTAGAGGTGACACGCGCTCAGCTGCTGCCTCACCCTGCAGGATCCGTTAAGGAGGTTTTACAATGCAAATAAAGATTCTGTCACATTTTGTTTGTACTGCTTGTTAGACTGATCTCAATAACAGGGGTGTACAGTAGTGAGAATATAGTGCAGTAATGAGACAGGGACACTCACCTCCACAATGTCGGAATTGGTCCGGCTCTCATGTGGCTCATTGTACTCTGTGTATTTGAGCAGCACCTTGTCCATGTCTGTGCTGGCGTACTGGAACAGCTTGTTGGTGCTATTGAAGATGATCAGGGCAATCTCACAGTCACACAGCACACTCAGCTCATACGCCTTCTTCATCAGGCCAAACTTTCTCTTCGTAAATGTCACCTGATAACAGAGAATAAAAAGAAGAAAAGGACATCATGAAAACTAGCTAAAATCTTAAAGGGTAACCAGATGGTTCATAAGTGAAAAAGGATTTTACACTGAGTTCTTTTAGAAATGCAATGAGGCAGTTTTTGATGTTTCAGCACTTTCTGACTGTAACAAACAATCCACTATACCAGGAAAAAAGAAGCTTCGCTTCATTTAGGGAACTGAAAACACTCTGTCTCAGACAGATAACGGTAAAAAGTCCAGTTAATGCATGTAGATCAAAGAACAGTGGTTCATCACGGAACACGTGTCAACTTAAATCTACTCTAGTTTAGCCACAGTATATCAAACAGTGATGTTTATGAAGGAAAATGTACATACCCCCACAATCACATTTTTCCACTAATATTCATGCCACAGGCAGTAAATAATTTCCAATAGCATCAGAGTGTTCAGATAAACTGCTGAAATAAACCCCAGAAATGGCAACCTTTTCATCATTCAGCGTGTATACGGTTATTGAGTAAAAAGGCTTGTTTAGAAAACAAAGAGTGCCTGCTTTGTTCAAAAGGAACAGATTTTATTCCTCTATTGTTTGGATCTGAACGAAAGCACTGAAAATACGTGATTTTGGAGAGTTGTGCTTCCTTTCTTCCAAGCCATGTGTCTAGACTCCACAGTCGTCTACAAACTAAAAAAGAGAAAATATGTCAGTGACAGGCTGCCTCTTGGAGCAAATCTGCTACTTAATTATTAAAATACTTTTGTCGTTTACATTGGACGTCTGTGTTGACAATGCCTTTTAGAGAGGAGAATATGTGCCAAAACTGTGCCCAGCTGGTAACTAAAGATCCCATTTGTTGATTATCTGCATGTTTGTCTATTCTTTTTCTGACACTTCTGTTAGCCAAAAAACACAGTCTAACACCCTCAAAAGCAAATGGTCTCAACTACATACCAAACAAAGACTAATATTGTGAATGTATTATGCGCTGCCCTTCACATATTCTTCTGAGCTCCTTACAACTTCAAGGCCTGTAAGAGGATATAAGGTTAAATGGATATTGATAGATAGTTTTGGATTTCCTGAAATTACATCTCCCAGGATGCACCAGGGAAAGTGAATATGAAACTACCCCTCGCCTCCAGCTTTTCTCTCCTCTTCTCAAGCCAAACCACGTACTGCTTTGTCACACAATTAACTGACCATTTTAATTTTCTATTTACAAATACATCTTAATGTTTGATTATAAATTTGGACTCTATATTTTAAGTACATATTTTATTTGCATGGTAATGTATTTAGTTACATCTATCCTCTTAAAAATACAGCCTGAGACTTTGGCATATTACTGTACATTCATGATGCACGTGCGAAGTCAAGGTTAGTTCCGAAACTCACTCTCATCTGATTCACAGACAACATACGGAGATACGACTCCCCAGGGCTCTAAATACCATGCTGACATTTACACAGCTATAGCTGAAATGTGAAGATAAAAAATAAGCTTGATTCTTATGAGATCAAAAAGCATCTTGTGACAATAAGATTAATTGTCATATCCACCTTGTTGTGAGATGTATTATGCTCCAAAAGTGAAAGCCAACTAAAAAGGTCAGTTATGTTAGAACTGCTCTATAAGAACCAACAAATAAGGCTGTCAATTTGATTTTATATTCTACTTGTATTATTAAGATGTTATAGCAGTTAAGTAGTGACTAGACTGCATACAATTTGGCTGTACTAAGCATGAATAAATGAAAGGGTTGAATGGAGGAGGGCATCATGGCTTAAACCTACTGGATGACAAATCAATCCATGTTTGACTCTTCACTATGACGCCACAGAAAATAGATACGCATTTGAAATGAGATAGTCTAATATAGGATGTTGAACAATGAGGGAAAACTTTTGTTATGATTCACAGTGACTTTTGCATCACCACAGGAAGAGAATAAGCGTGATTATGAAAACCTTTACTGACCATATAATAACGCCTACATAATTATCACACCACTCCCCCATATCTCCACCTGACACATACAACCTGCTACCTCCAACCCATATATATAACAGCACTGATGCCAAGCACAGATTTAGATAAATAAGGACAAATGGCCGCTCTCAAGTGCTAATGTTAAGGATACACGATGGAGAATGTGATAACATTATATCTGAGCTTGATATTCACTTTGAAAGACAGTGTCATCTGGCAAATATTCACTGACACTCACAATGCTGCCATCTGACCAGTACTACTGTTCTTTCTCATGAATGTCCAAAAAAAAATCATGGCCTGATATTTATTGAGTCATAAGATATTCTGTCCTTCCAAAATGAAAATTGCATCAAATCAACCAGGAAGTCTGTGCATGCCACTATGTAATATGTCCTATGAACCGGGAATGAAAAGACATTAAAAACATTTAAAACTATTTAAGAATATGTTGCTTACAGTTAACATATAACCATCGTTACTTTATGACTGATTTGATTAATTGTCACAAATTATACTATGCTTGCTATAAAAAAAATAGTACAACTCGTCATCAATATAAAAGTGTCAGTGGTGTGCACAGAACAGAGACATAATAGAAGTAGAAGCATGGACGAGGTGGGGTTGAAGAGTTGGGGGCAGACGCACAGGAAGCACATTTGTATGCATTTCCTCTCATAACAGGAAGAGGCCGGTGGCTTCCCCTTCACAATGGCTTCGCTTCTGCTTCCCTCGTCCTGCCCCGAATCCCTGGGGGAGAAGGAGGGGGAGGAGAGGGCACCAAACACTGCTAGTTAGTAAACCAAACATGAGTGTACCGTGTACACTAATGTTGATACATACTGTATATGCGCAGATGCAGCCACTAAATATAAAAATGTATTTCACGGGTTAAGGTCACAATGTATACAAACTGACCTTAATATCCTACATCACCTAACCTATTTGGTAAAGTGTGGTATAAATATTGCACAGTTGTTTTTGTATTCCACTTTCCAAAAAGACCATATAATCACAATTCAGTGAATTACTTAACTCACTACACTGATGCTTTGTATGTTCCTGTTATGGAAAAACACTCAAGCAGGGGAAGACAGAACCACTGGTCAAAAGTGGGTGTCACACAGCTAGTGGCCGGAATGGCAAAAATAACCTGACCATCCTCCATTTGTGACAAATATAGAATTTCTGTTTTTATTTTTAACAGTTTCCACAGGAAAAACTGAAAGTCATAATTCACAGTAAGGAAGAAAATATTTTGATGTGTAAAATAAGTGTAAAATCAATATGTATCTGTTGGGACAATCATTTTCACTTTAATATATGAATATAGCATTATTTATTATATAAGTTGCTATTATAAAAATGTATACACTTTGCTGATCTAACATAAGGAATTTAAAGAAATGTAAGTTCAGCGGGGAAAAAATGCATTTATAATATTTGAGGAGTATTTTGTGGAGATAAAAAGCAACTCTCAACATCATATAAAAATGTGTTTTCACCTACTTGCTTGGTGTATATTCTAGCATGTCAACAATTCTGTGCCACATTTTGTAAAAGATGTATGGACCCTTAAATGTTATCAAAATAAAAAGAAAGAGAGGTGAAGAAAAACATGTGAACTCGAAATATAACAGGCACTAAGTGGAAACAGCAAAAAAAAAAAAAAAAAAACTTAAAAAATACATCTGTGAGGAGGTGAGAGCCTGGAGAGCCCTTTTCAGGTGAGGTCTAACAGCAGAACATACGACAAGGAGTGCCGCTCGCTGTGGGAAGAGACACAGACAGTAGAAGGTGGGAAACAGGGAATTAGTGCCGGGGTGCAGGGGTGAGGAGCTACCCTGTGGGCCTCATTATTTTCCTGCTGTTAATTTCACTCACATATTTTCTCACCCTAGTGCTGTTGATTGGAAAGAAGAATGCTTTGTCGTTGAAACAAAAAGACCCCTTTTTCAGTTTCTGTGCAGTTAACATGATGAGGTGCCTGCAATAGGACATAAAACTAGAATTTTCCCCTTTGGGCTGACTGTGTGAGAGTGGTGAGACAAGTCTGGGAAGAGTTTGGAGATCCAGTTCTTGCTATTTCCTGTTGCCGATGACCTGATCCTTGTTTAACCTTTGGCCCTTATGTCCCTCCCCCCAAAATCCAACTCACAGAAAGAAGAGATTAAAAACAACTAGCCCAAAATGAGTGCAATGAGTTTACTTTCTGAAGAGCAGTAGTGGTTCTAGATGTTGATATTACATGTGCCAGTTCTAAGCCTAAATAAAAGCTAGGGTTTGCATAGCTGTTATTAAAGGGTACAGATTTTTTTTTTTGACAGAACAGTACAGTGTGAAACATCTGTGAAGAGTGGGGAGCCGGGTATCAATCAATCAGAGCCTGACATATGAGCTGCAGCTTGACCACTTGAATATGAGGCAGCACAAGGCTAGTTATGTGTACAAAGGAATTATTATTATTATTATTTTTAATCTTTTTTGTCCAAAAAAAGTCTCCAGAGAGGTAGACATGCTTCATATGTGTAAATGAGTTGATAATCTGGTATGTTTCAGACCACACTGTACAGAACATGTCCCTATGTTTAGCGCGGCTGCGAGTGGTGGTTCTAGTGTATGCACCTATGTGCCGGCCCTGAGTCCATGGCACAGGGGGCCCTTTCATGTGCCCGAGGCTGGGAGTGGGTCTGAGTGGTCGGGGGGCTTGGAGCCAGAGCTCACACACTGCTGCCTACTGTCCACAGCTCTGGGCAGCCAGTCAACGGCAGGGAGGCCTGGCCCTTGTACCCCTGCGCCGGGGAAGTGTTTCTGAGGCCTGGAGGTGGTAGCCCAAAGTGGCCGCCCAGAGAGCCAGGCCTCGTGTCCAAGTCTGCCATGCTCTCAGGCCAAGTCCAGACGGGCAGAGCTGCCCTGTAGGTAGCAAGGTAGTGTTGACAGCCACACAGAGTGGTGCCACTCCATACGCAGGCTGCATAGAAGAGAAGTGGTGCTGACAGGGGGAAACAGTGTACAGTTATTTGTACAATTTTGGGTTATTTTACGTTCTTCAAACCATTGCAAATCAGTCAAACAGCAAGTCCCCACATGGTATGAGAAGAATTGTAGGTGTTTATTTGGTTTTGGCATTGCCGGGAGATTTCCTCAAGAAGGAAGTGAAAATATGCAAAGCAAAAACTTCTGTTTTCTTTCCATTTTGCAAAGATGAAATTAGATGCTTGTGTCTGTCTCTATGGCTGTCTTGTGATGTCCTCTTGTTACATCTGAAATGATGTCATTATTGTGGGTCAGAGGTTAAATGACACTGAATGCCTCATAGTGTCCTATAGTAGTACGCTTCCTCCTCTGCACTGATGACTTCATCGCATGAAGCATGGTGGAATTGACACAAACCAGACAGTTATGTATTTTAAATGATAGAACAACAAGGTTATTTATTGATTTGCCTTTCCCTGAACCTTCTCCTTCCTCCGCCTCGCTCTCTCCTCCGTCAGTGTAGCCCGGATATCTGAGGCATCGATTCCCCTCAGGTGTCCTTCCTGTCTCCCTCTCCCTTCCTTATCCTCAGGAGCCGGAGTGCCTAGTGCAAATGGTGGGCCTGGTCTGCGCTGGGATGAGAGAGCGCAGGGCTGAGATAACACTGAGGAGGAAGTGCGGGTGCTGCTGCAACATGATAGCCACAATCCTTTCTCTCAAAACTTGGTGACCTCTGATCTGCTTTTCTTCCCTCCATTTGAAATCGTTTGGGAAAATGAAGTAAAAAAGAACACTACAAGAACAATGCAGACTTTTAATTACACACTTGATGTTAAAGGTACACTATGTAACTTTTCAATGGCAGGTTTGCCACCTGTTTGTGATGTGATTGCTTTAGGTATGTTCCAAAATATGGCATTAAACATATCTGTCTCCATTAAGACCAGCAGGGAGATGGATATGTTTTTCAAGTTATTTTTGAGAAATAGCCTTTAGGACCCTTTAATGCCATGTGGAAGATTCCAGGTCAAAGCAATAACATCTCCATGGAAAGTAGCTGGTATCTCACTCATCACAAAGGTTACATAGTGTAGATTCAAGTATGGGCAGGCATAAAGCTAATCATAATTTCATTGTTGCATTGTATCAAATCACAATTAAAGGAGAAAAACAGCCAAAGGATAAGGTGTACATAAGACTCCTTGTGTGGCGTGTGACCTGTGAACCAGGGGCCACAGTAGCAGCGTATGGATCCAATTGGACTGCCAGGAAGCTGACAAAGTGTTAGTGGTCAGTTGCGCTGCAGGATGTGATCGATTGTGGGCCTGGGGGGCACTAAGACAGCTCTGTCTCTATCTGCTTCCTGCAACAGAGGGTTGTGTCTGACCAAGACATGTTGCAGACCATTTATGGTTTGTAGGATGGCAATGGTGTTGTATTATGTGTCACTGATTTTCATCCCCTCAAAACAAAACTAAACTAAATAGTACTGATAACAGGTTGGTGATGTGTCAAAAAAATAATTTTGCACTTTAGATTTTTTGACAAATTGTGAAAATATTTAGTGATTTATGAAACTATGAAATGGTAGTAGTAAATTTACCCATACACAGTGTATGGGTCATAGTATGTTTTGTCTAAATTGGTATTAATACTTGTGGTGAGTGCAGATGTATTCAACTGAAATAAACTGACTACTGTGTAACACTGTGTTGTTAAATATGTGCTGGTGATCATTTTATGACAATTGCTGTTTTTGCTATTTTCATTTGGTTTTGTGTTAAAATGACATATGTGTATTTTATGTACATGTATATTTTAACTTACTGTGTAGTCAAATCAGTGCACTGTATGACCAAGAGCAAAAGCAACCAGCTGTTATTTCCAGTGTAAGACTTCTACCCGGGGCACTAACGGCCCTGTACAGTGTACCACTGTATTCTGTACCTGGTTCAGATATTGCCCAGACTCCCAGTAGACCGTCATTGTTGAGGTCTATGTCGGGTGTAGGGTGTCTCCCCTCCTTCCCCCCACCCTCACTCTCATCCATCGTGCTGTACCCCAAGGGCTTACCTGTCTGTTGCGTTCATCCATAATCCGCGTGATCTGAATCTTTTTCCTCCCCATCGTCCCCGTCGTTCTCTCTATCTCTCCTCTTTCCAAAGAACTTTATGCTTTCTTCTTTCTTCTCTCCCTTCTTTTCGTTCTCTTCTTTCTTGTCACTGTTCTGGCTCTTCCTTTATCTGTCTCAGCTTTCTATTTGTACCAATCAATTCAAAGATCCCAGCATTCGTACCTGTAAAACAGAAAGAAGAAAAGAGGGGGAAGGGAAGCATTAAATAAAATGAAATATGGCAAAATACTGAAAAAAATAAAAGTGGCATCATGGAAGCCACAAGGGAGGGCGACGAAAGACAAAGAATCTGTCAACAATGTTGTAAGAAGTGCTGTGTTTTTCAGTGCCGATATCATGCAAATCAGTTTTTTGCATTTTCTTGTCTTTTTTATATATTTTTTTTTGCTCAGGTAGCAACTATGAGAGGAGACAGTGCTGTCAGGATCTCGCCTCGTTCACAGAGAGTTTGACAGTGTTTTGGAACTGCTGCTAACTTAAACACTCTAATCACCAACGCTGTAACATTACCTTTAGACTGAGAAATATATTTTGTTTCTTGCTGTTATACTGGCAATGGAGTCTGCTGCTTTTCTTTAAATTTCTCTTTTAGCACATCTAAACAGGCAAGGATACACCACAGATGTTATGACAATCACATAAACCACAGTCAAAGGTAAAGAGTACTTGGTGCCAGTGGTTGGCAGTATTAACAAACATGGGCATCGTGATAACAGCAATTAGATATTAAGATATATACAGATATTTTAGCTATTCAAAGTACATCATGGGTGTCACTAAATGTAGTGGTTGAGATTTAAGTATCAGATAAAAGTGAAAGGACTGAAAATGGCCCACATGAGCGCTGAAATATCAGTTCATGCACTTTTTCAAAGTACATCCACAATATTATCAATCTCCCGCAATCTCCATCTCAGTTTGGTATAATATATACTGCACCCCATGTACTACATATCTTTCTTACCAGTGGCCTAAGGCAGGTTTTAAAGAGACCACAACAAGTGAGTTATTATTATTATTTGCATATGAAACTGCCAAAGACACCATATCACTGATGAAACCATCCGTTTGAGTTGGCATTGGCACAAAATCGGCACTATAGGTATTCATTTTGTTTACATGGACATTTTCAGCACCATACAGTGATTTCTCTCATTAGTAATCCTTTTTGTTTAGCTTTGGAAAGATATTTTCTGAAAAACTTTTGTAATGCTAAATTGACTTCATATAACACATATAACACAAACATGAAGCAGAGTGGATTACTTGTACTAAGGAGAAGAGACCAGCCACAGCAGACAACAGAGCTGCATGTGCAAAAAGATGCACTAAAAAAGTTTGCATGAGTGAGTGACTGTCCGGAGCGTGCCTGTGTGCTGTGCTGGATGTATGGGTGTGTGTTGGACGGTGAGCTTGGCTAAGCCCGAGCTCCAGTGCATCTCTCCAGAGTGCTAAAGTAGGCCAACCCAATCTATCTCAGGGAGGAGCAGAAGAACTGTTGTTGTGTTTTCTTTTGACAGTAGAGGTGATAACGTCCCTCGTTATGCAAATGAGCATCCCATTATTTAAGCTCAGTGCAATGCAGGGGAGCTGTCAGCATCGTCACATGAAAAAAAAGGAAGAAAAAAGAAAACTCCATCTACGTTGCCTTTTTACCTCGACTTTCTCCTTCTTCTCGCATCTCTCCTTTCTGAACCAGATTTCCGGCACCTGGCAGCACAAGCATCAGACGCCGATGTGGAAGACGACACTGCTTCACCAAAAGACATGTCAGTCTCACTCTCTCTTTCTATCACTCTCACGCTGTATTCTCTCCAACCGCCGTGCGCTATACCGCTCCGTCATTGCATAGTTTCCTGCACATAAACGCACTTGCCAGGCTTTCTCTTCTTGTTCAAAGATGCTCCTCTAACCTGATTCCTGATGAACCAGAGGTGACATGCATCAAGAAGCAAGAAATGTCCCTTGAACTTGTCAACAACATGCCATGGACTCTACCTCCAAAAACAAGTAAATAGATAATGAAAGATGCTTGAGACAAAAGTAAAACCTAGATATGAGACAAGACTTCTTTGTACCTGCCCCATGTCTGCATAAATAGATAGAGTTGCATCAGGCAGGGCATCTGATATAAAAGCAAAACGATGCCGAATCAGTATGAGATAGAAACAAATTGTCAACTCTAATTATTCACAATATTTGACTAACAAGTTGTGTGTGTTTTCTATTTGACATCATCAAAAAGGGAAAAGTACCAGACAATGAGAACAATAACGCAATGGATGACAATAACTTCTTCGAGTTGATGGCTCAGAATACGCCCACTTTTTGCGGAAATAAAACAAACATAAATGCATCATTTGGCAGTTTGGACAACAGCAAGAGTGTGTCATCATAATAACAACAAGATCTAAAATAACTTGGTGGCAGCTCTGAAGAGGCAATCCAAAAACATTTTAGCATAGCTGCGCCTAAACACACCCATCCATAGACAAACAAAGAACTGCCCCCTGGAAGAAAACAAAGAGGCATGTTGTCAGACAAACTCGGATTACAAGGCAACAGTAAGACGCTTGGCACAAGACAGCCAGACAAGGATATCAATCAAGACAGAGCACCTCCATCACAGCCTGACAGGATCACCCCTCCCCCCTCTCCCAACAACACAGGGCCCGGGCACGGGTCCAAACAAGGGGGAGTTACCTCTGTGATCCCTGCCTTCTGGCCTCTTCTCAGCCCAGTGCACACAGCTCAACCTCTCAATGTCAACACCCACTGGGGCAACACCTCAGGCCTTACGTAACAGTAATGCTAAGTCTAAGCCCGTGTCCTGAACACTTAATCCGCGCTTTTGGCTCCCAACTCCAGCCCAGCGCTCCCTGAGGTGAGCCACTGCTGCTGCCACTGCTTCTCAGGCCTAAGCACACCCACAAAACACCCCACTATTTGTCTATGGATCATCAAATGCTCCAGGAACATCTTTCTAGAGTCCTTAAGGGTCCGACAAAGGCTGATGAAGCGTAGCTGTAAGATTTGATTCACCATAATCACCCTGTATATAATTCATTGACTGTTAAAATACATTTTCTTCTTGATTATACAAGCAGAACCTTTTGAAAATTCCCAGTCTCTTCCCTAAGGCTCAAACAATACAATATATAAAGTGGTTAGTTCTCAAATACCAACTGGAAAGATGTTAAAGCAATGTCAACACACAGGTAAATCTGATCACCCATTTTCTGCCCCGTCTATTTCTTCTATGTGTCATCTTCTCAGTCCCCACATGTCTTCCCCTCGCCCACCTTCAACACCACACTTTCTCACCGCCTCCGCCCAACACAAATGCCAAGGCAGCCTCTGGATAAAGACTGCCCACCTCCACACTGGGCACGAGTCCCATGTTCCCTTTCCCCCAGTGGTTTTCTTCATAGAGCATTGGTTAACTTAACCGATTACCACTGATTCATTCCAATCCAATTTAGCCTCATGACGCCAACACAGTGAAACACGGAGAAACTGAGAGGAACAATTGCAGGCTTAGTGAATGTGGTCAAGTGGCGCGGGGCAGTAATCTTCAGCAAGGAATTCTTCACAAGGGACTAACACTGACTTCTGACCTTGACAGGGCAATGGAACTGTAATGTCATCTAAGACGAGAAAGGGAATTTGAATAAAACTGACTAAGTGCCCAAGCAACAGTATCTCAACATTACTTAAGGCTTAATGCTTAAGGGTAAACAGTTTTTCTATTGGTGTTACTGACTGAAAGTGTTCAAAGAAGAAGTTCTTGGTACCTGGTTATAATGGCCTGTACCAGAAAGTCCAGATTTGGTTCTTTAAGTTAATACAGAGTTGACTTCTAGTAGTAGTCTACACTTTGAAGAGGTTGAAATGAAACAAAGTATGAGAGTAAATACAGTATGAAGATGGCAAAGATAGCAGGCAGCAGCGGGTTTTGAACAGGCACCAGGCCTCTCCAGGGGGAGGGGAAGAGCGGTACCCACGACCCTCCCATCTGTTAAGCAGACGGACAGAGCGAGGCAGAGCGGGAGAGAAGAGAGGGAGGATGGAGGTTGGGGGGAGGATTCAGCAGCACATAGATGTAATGAGCTCTCTCTCTCTGTGTCTCAAAAGTGGAGCTGAGAGGACGATGGGAACATCCAGACTCGGCACACCATGAGGCGTGATTCTAGGTCGCCTCTCTCCCAAGTGTTTAGTCACTAAAAACTAATATACAGCACATGGCGCTTTTTCACATTCTAATAGACAGTCTGTAGGGTGCTTGTTAATGTGGCTTTGTTATTGAGGACAGACACTAGAGGCAGACCCACAGAGCACAAAGAGGAACTTTACCTTGACTCATGCTCGGGACTTTTGTGTCACTTGGAAATACAGCTGCTTTATAATGAGAAAACAAAGAATGAGACGAAACTCAAATTCTGAGAACACTTGGTTAAAAAATGTTCCATTCAAAGAATTGTGAGGAAGTACATTTTTACCTAAAAGTGAGCAATTCTGCTGATTCTGATATTCTCAAATCCTAACTCTTCATGTAATAGTCAATTTGGGGAAGGCGGTTTATCGTGAAGGGATTATCTATGTTTTTCTTAAAAGCTCCACCTTGGCAGCCCTACCCAGTTCATGGTACATCTGCAACACATTCGGTTAAAGCATGTGTCCCATAAAATATAAGAAAACACAAGTATCCCCTATCCTCAGAGGAAATGTGGTGGCAAGGATTTTGAAATAACATATTACAGTGCAGTGGGTAAACCTTTTAGGAGGTGTATGGTACATTAAATAAACTCAGTCTCTTTTCAAATAAACTCACATTTCCTTGTAGACAGCAATGAAAAAGCACTTTAATATAGTTCTCAAAATTGGTAACAGTGATCTACAGTACTGTGAAAAAGATGTCCTGGAAAAATGATACAGATTATTATAACTGTGATATGGGTATGGTCAGTGGAAGAGCATTTATCCCTGAACTACTGTAGATCAATAGTACAAGACCAGATGGAGATCCAGAAAGACAGATATGATGCTCTAGTTTTTAATTATTTCTTTTTTGTGTATTGATTAACTTTTTATTAATTGCTTATTTCTGTGTAGTGTGACATTATTAAAATAGGCAGAGATTTGTTTTGTTGGAAAAGTTACTT